AAAAAAAAAAAAAAAAAAGTTTGCCTGATCCAATTCCCATTTCTCTTAAAAAGTTTGGCATTGGGGACAGCACCTGTGGCTCAAAGGGGTAGGACACCGGCCCCATATGCTGGAGGTGGTGAGTTCAAACCCAGCCTCAGCCAAAAAAAGAAAAAATTTGGTATTGGCTGGGCACATTGGCTAATACCTGTAGTTACACCACTCTGGGAGGCCAAGGTAGGTGGATTGCTTGAGCTTAGGAGTTTGAGACCAGCCTAAGCAAGAGCAAGACCTTGTCTCTACTAAAAATAGGAAAAAAACTTTTTTGTATTGTAGAAAATGTCAAACTTGAGTCCGGACAAAGGGGCTCACACTTGTAATCCTAGCACTCTGGGCAGCCAACATGGGTAAATTCCTTGGAGGAATTCAAGACTAGCCTGAGCAAGAGAAAGATCCGGTCTCTACACCCACGCCCAAATAGAAAAACTAGCTGGGTGCTTTGGCAGGTGCCTTTAGTCCCAGCTATTCAGGAGGCTAAGGGAAGAGGATGGCTTGAGCCCAAGAGTTTGAGGTTGCTGTGAGCTGTGATGCCATGCCACAAAACAAGTCAAATGTATACAAAGTAGAAAGAATAGTGTAATGAACTCCATCATCCTTCTTCAACAATTATCATTTTGCCTTCATTTATCTTATTTTTAGATGAAATTTAAAAATATCAATATGCACAAATACTGTTTTAATTGTACAGTTTTGACAAATGGCTGATACACCCATGTAAGCCATAATTACTATCACTATGTGGCATAATGGACTATTTTCATCTCCTCATAAAATTCTCTCACATTCTGTTGAGTTAACCTAATCCTCTCCTGCCTCTAGGCAATTACTATGTGATTTTTTTTTATTAGTTTAGCCTTAGGATTTTGTGTATGTTATATATAGTATAATTTTATTTTAATTTTCTTTGTATTGATATATGCAAAATGATATACATGATACACGTATTTTATAAAACATCTTTTACAACTATTACCTAGCCTAGAGTTTTATCAATGCCTCTGAAGTTTCCTGTCTATTCCACCTCATGCTATTCTTCTCTTCCTTCCCAATGTCCACTATTCTGAGTTTTGTATTTTTTTATTCCTTGGGTTTTTATTATAATTTTATAACATTTATTCATTCTCAAATAACATATGGTTTGGGCATGCCTGTTTTGGAACCTTTTCTGAATGGAATTATGCTGTCTAGTTTTGCTAAGACACATTTTTCTTTTCTTTTCTTTTCTTTTCCTTTTTTTTTAAGAAACAGAGTTTCATTTTGTTGCCCTTGGTAGAGTGCTATTGGCATCACAGCTCACAGCAACCTCCACTCTTGGGTTAGGCGATTCTCTTGCCTCAGTCTCCCAAGTAGCTGGGGCTATAAGAAAGACACATTTTTCATTCAGCTTTATGTTTTATTAGAGAGTTGAGGATATACTGATACAGCTATAGTTTATTTTCACTGCTAACATTCACATGTGTAACTATAGTTTGTATGGTATAAACACAGTGTATTTAACCAGTTTCAGTGGACATTTTTCTTGTTTTCATGAGTAATGCTGCTGTAGATAATCTTGAACATGTATCTTGCTGGACATGTGCAAGTATTTCTCTAGGGCAGTGCTTCTCAAACTTCGGGTGTCCCATTACTTTATGACCCATTAGTTTAATTGTTCTAATTAGAATCAACTTGGGAAGCTTAGCAAACTATTCAAGCTCCATCCCAATCTAGTTGAATCAGTTTTCAGGGGCATATGTGAGCATAGGTTTTGTGTTTGTTTTAATTATTTTTTTTTAATTTCAGATTAAT